TGTGTGTGTGTGTGTGTGTGTGTGTGTGTGTGTGTGTGTGTGTGACAGAGTTTCGCCCAGGCTGGAGTGCAGTGGCGCGATCTTGGCTCGCTGCAACCTCCGCCTCCCAGGTTCAAGAGATTCTCCTGCCTCAGCCTCCTGATTAGCTGGGATTACAGGTGCCTGCCATCCTACCTGGCTAATTTTTTTGTATTTTTAGTAGAGATAGGGTTTCACTATGTTGGCCAGGCTGGTCTCGAACTCCTGACCTTTTTTTCTTTTTCCATTTCAAAAGCAGGTAGCGGCCGGGCGCGGTGGCTCACACCTGTAATCCCAGCACTTTGGGAGGCCGAGGCAGGTGGATCACAAGGTCAAGAGATCGAGACCATCCTGGTCAACATGGTGAAACCTTGTCTCTACTAAAAATACAAAAAATTAGCTGGGCATGGTGGCACGTGCCTGTAATCCCAGCTACTCAGGAGGCTGAGGCAGGAGAATTGCCTGAACCCAGGAGGCGGAGGTTGCAGTGAGCCGAGATCGCCCCTTTGCACTCTAGCCTGGGTAACAAGAGCGAAACTCCGTCTCAAAAAAAAAAAAAAAAAAAGCAGGTAGCCTCCTATTGAACTCCTGACCTCAAGTAATCCACCTGCCTTGGCCTCCCAGAGTGCTGGGATTGCAGGCATGAGCCATTACACCTGGCCAGTAGTACTCTTTAAACCAGTCAACTTTGCAGACTAGAGGAGGATGTTGAAGAGCTATGTGGTTTTTTTGTTTGTTTTTGTTTTTTGTTTTTGAGGCAGAGTCTTGCTCTGTTGCCCAGGCTGGAGTACAGTGGCAGTGGCAAGATCTTGGCTCACTGCAACCTCCACTTCCAGGGTTCAAGCGATTGTCCTGCCTCAGCCTCCTGAGTAGCTGGAACTACAGGTGCCTGCCACCACACCCAGCTAATCTTTTTATTTTTGGGAGAGACAGGGTTTCACCATGTTGGCCAGGCTGTTCTCGAACTCCTGACCTTGTGATCTGCCTGCCTCGGCCTCCTACAGTACTGGGGTTACAGGTGTGAGGCACTGCGCCCTGCCATTTTTTTTCTTTCTTTCTTTTTTTTTTTTTTTAATTCTTCAGCTAAGACAGCAGAAGAGGTGATTTATTTTGTTGTTACACTCGGCCACAAGTAAACACAGAAATAGTCCAGAATGTCACAGGTCCAGGGCAAAGGACCAACATGGGCAATTTTGATTATGAGCAAGGTGGGTCTCAGAGGTGATCGGCGATCAGATGGCATTGAAGTTCTAGATCCATTGAGACAAGCTCTAGACAGTAGCATGCAGTCCCACAACTTGTACCAGCATCCTCAGCGTCTGGCATTCCATGTTTCTGCTCCTGTGGCCTCCACGGTACAACAAGCTAGAGGTTTACTTGGACCTCTGCTTCATCTTTCTTCTTTTGCGCTTCAGACTGCGCATTCGTTTCTTCCTCCACTTGGCTGTCATGGCACAGAGGCTTCCAAAAAAAATGGCGCTAAGGCCGAGAGCCATTTTTTTTTTTGTTTACCAACTATGCACCTATTATTCAGACATCTAAGATTAATGTCTGTGAAACAGTGGTCTTCTCTTTGTACATATTATAACGGGAAGTGTTCCTATTTATGTACTGTCTGTATCAATACTCACTGCACCATGATTAGCAAAATTTTAAACTTTGGTAGCTATATCTTTATGTTGCTTCCCCTCTGGGCGGCCAGCTGTGTGGATGTGCTTCTCCCTTAAGGACTGCGGCAAGACTAACAAGTTCATTGGAATTTGACTCCCTGACATGGAGCAGACGGCCTTGCCCTATCATGCCAGGCCCTTCATGTGAAGTTACTATTATCAGCTGCTTCTGTCTCTCCAGGGAAGGGTTTCCCTTTGATAAGCCTGGGCCAGGGGGATGAGGGTGAGATTCCCCATGTTATACCAGAGTTGGAATAGGGTATAGTGAAATTAGGGCCAGGACTGTGCCATTTTGATTCTTGAACGGTTTCTGTTACAGCTTGTCATGGGGAAAAAGTAACACTTATTTTTTTTTTCTCCCTTAGAAGACAAAAATACTAATGCATTTGAGAAAGCGGTAGTTTTGGGGGGAGGGGGAAAAAGCAACTGCTTTCCTGATCTGCAAGTTGGCTGGATGCTAAGATGTCCGTGGACATGAATAGCCAGGGGTCTGACAGCAATGAAGAGGACTATGACCCAAATTGTGAGGAAGAGGAAGAAGAGGACGAAGACCCTGGGGACATAGAGGACTATTACGTGGGAGTGGCCAGCGATGTGGAACAGCAGGGGGCTGATGCCTTTGATCCCGAGGAGTACCAGTTCACTTGCTTGACCTACAAGGAATCTGAGGGTGCCCTCAATGAGCACATGACCAGCTTAGCCTCTGTTCTAAAGGTGAGCAGTGTTGTAAACTCCAGTGTAATCCCCGAAGTTAAATCTAAGGATGAGCTGTTGTTAATTAATGTCTCCTCCAGACAAATTGAATGGCCTTGTAGCTTGAAAGTAAATTTAAGTGTATGTCGACATAATTTGGATATTTTGTTACATTTACTTTGTTTTCTTAGATGCATATCTAAGGTCCTCAGATTCCCAAATTAGTAAGAATTAGAAAGGAGGGGTGGGATAGATTCAAGAAAGATGTACTGTACCAGAAGTACATAGTAGCAGAATTGCAGAGCTTTGTACTTGTTTCAGGAAGTAAGCTTTCAGGAATTTTATGAGGTTGATACAGTAAAGCATCAGAATCACCATCTTCTGTACAAATGTATTTGAGTGATAAATGTCTTGAGAGTATCCAGATCCCTCTGGTTTGCTCTGAATAATCAGTGCCTTTGGACTAATGAGCTCATTTGTTTCATGTACTGATTTTAATAATAATTCTTTCTTATAGCTTGTATTTTATTGATTTAGGGGATATTAGTATGGAAATTGTAAAGAGTGAACAAAGTTGATTATTCTAGCAAGCATTTTATTTTGTGTTATTTTAATTTTTTTTTTTTGAGGCAGAGTTTTGCTGGTTTCCCAGGCTGGAGTGCAATGGCGCAATCTTGGTTCACTGCAACCTGCACCTCCCGGGTTCAAGCGATTCTCCTGACTCGGCCTCCCGAGTAGCTGGGATTACAGGCATGTGCCACCACGCCCAGCTAATTTTGTATTTTTAGTAGAGACGGGGTTTCTCCATGTTGGTCAGGCTGCTCTTGAACTCCCAACCTCAGGTGATCCCCACCCCGTTGGCCACCCAAAGTGCTGGAATTAAAGGTGTCAGCCACCGTGCTTGGCCTTCATTTTATTTTTTAACACATAAACTGAAACATATCTTTGGATGTCTTGCACCTTGGGCCAGTTATTATCCTCACTATTTACATTTTTTATGATTATTTTGACAGTTTCTTAGCAAGCATGTTTCCTTTTTTAACACTGGCCATTATGGGAAATTGGAAACATTTCTCTTAGTGTTTTCACTAATCTTTCTTCATCAACTGTTACATGGATTTCCTTCCTGATTAAATTGAAAGTCAAAAGGGCACCTTGGCATGATTTCAACCAAGTAAAGGTGTGTCTTGTGTGATTTCTATAACATTTGCTTTATCTACTAGTTTAGGGATTTTTTTCCCCCAGATGGTTGGCAGAGGCTAATACCTTGAATTTAGATACTCAGGTCTTTATTAGCAACTGGCTGCAAGCTGAAAGCTAAGTTTTTTTTCCTGACTCATTTCTAGAAGTGATTGTAGACTTCCTCTCTTGTGCTGAGCAGAAAACTCTGAAGAATGGGGACCTATCGATCCTCTGGGTTTGAGATTTCTGCACTATGGCTATAGCAAACCTGCTGAACCTTTGCCTCCAGAGGGCATTTCCCTAGTAGAAAAACAATTATCGTGTTTTTCCTCACCATGCACACCTCTCCCTTGTTGATAAATAGTTTCTTTTGCTTTAGCCGTATTGTCAGGTTTTATACAGTGTTGGTATTTAAAATAAGAAAAGAATATGTTCATAATGTAAGGTTAGAAAAAATAATATTAGGAATTATGGGGGTGTGACTATGCACTGGACAGTGTCAATTGACCAAGTTCATTAGGATGTTCCTGTCCATGCACAGGAATTCTCAGATTGTCAAGCCCTCTGTACTGGCTTTTTCTCCCCTGCTAGAGACAGCTGAGGCACAAGCACCTGTCCTTCTTTCCTTTTTTTTTTTTTTTTTTTTTTTTAATTGTAAAATATGTGTAACATAAAATTTTCTGTTTTATATTTTTCTTCTTAGGCTGACCTAGGTGGTTAGCCTCCTGCAAAGTTTTTTCTTCTCCACCTCATCTCTTACTGCTCTTAGGACTCCTCAGAGTCTAGCTTGTGCTTTCTCCGAGTGAGGCTCCTTGAGAGCCCTTAGAACACAGTGACTGTGCCTTCCTTTGGTCCGTGTCCAAACAATACAGCTCCTGTGTTTTTTTAGATTATGTACTGCAGTCTTCTGACTTCTTTATGTTTTACCTGTTCACACATTTTGGCATGATCTCTCTAACTAGATTGTCAGTTCTTGGAGAGCAATAACTGTCTTGTACCTTATCTCCTCCATCATTCTTGTCACACTATTTCATCTACAGTAGGTATTGAATAATTGCTTGGATATTCGTAGATTTTGTTGATTGTTGGTGATAGTAGCAGATGCTGCTGTTGGTATGAGCTAGATTTCCCAATCCCTGATACGTTTTCTTTCCTATTGGAAATGAAATAAAAGGGCATTGTTCTGGCCTTTAAGACTGAGAAGAGTAAGAACAAAAAGAACTTGGAACAGAGATGTGGGAATAAACAGAAGAGAGTTGAAACAGGAAGGGTTAAAGAGAAAATGGAGCAAAGAGGAGAATAATCCACAAAAATTTAGATGGTGATAGAAGACAGTTTGTTTTTTCCGTTCCTATACTTCACTGACAAACATGTTAACACCCATTTACTTTATGGGGCTGGGCAAAAAAACGTCATGGCTCTTTTCGTTGGCTTGACTGTACATAAAGGGACTCTGGTGTTTTAAGTGGTTCAGGAGCTTGACCAAAGAGACTGGACAGAAAAGCAGTTTGGTTAAGAGTAAAGGAGAAGGAATCATATACAAATTTTTTTTCTTTGAGGCCAGATACAAACTAGCATTGTTTTTATTTATATTTTTAAAATTATATTTTAAATACAAAAATTATCTTGGTGTGGTAGCATGCACCTGTAGTCCCAGCTACTGAGGAGGCTGAGGTAGGAGGCTCACTTGGGACTGGGAGCAGAGGTTGCAGTGAGCCGAGATTGCTCCACTATACACCAGCCTGGGCTACAGAGTAAGACCTTATCTCAAAACAAAGATTTTTTTTTTTGGTCGAGATGGGATCTTGCTATGTTGCCTAGGTGTTAAACTCCTGGCCTCAAGCTGTCTTCCTACCTCAGCCTCCCAAAGTCTTGGGATTACAAGCATGAGCCACCACTCCTGGCCTGTTTTTATTTTTGTAATTAATATTTTTTGAGGATGGGAGGGAATAATTTAAGTGTTTAGTTTACCCAATGGTGTTCCGGCTATTCTGGTTTACTTGTTGCACATGTCCCTGAAAGTGGGATCAATAGTGATAGTCACCCAAATCACTACTGATGTCCCCATTGTCGTAGTGCTGATTGCACCATTCTGTGGTATATTGAAAAAATTTAATTCTTTCATATAATTTAGGTGCTGTGGCTTGTAGAATATGTTACGTGTGTATGTAATTTAAAATTATAGTCATGGATTCTAGTCTATGAGTAAAAGCTATCCAAGTTTGAGGAGTAGCTTAAATTTTTCACTGATTCTCATGTCTTTGTACTCATTTTGTTGTGTCCAGGCAGTTGCATGTGGATGATTTATAGTATAGCATAAAATTAAGCCGTTTATTGCCATTTGGGACTTGAAGTCTCTTTTTAAAAATTATTATTAAAATTTTTTTTTTTTTAGAAATGAGGTCTTGCCCTATCTCTAGCTGTAGTTGGAGTGTAGTAGCATGATCGTAGCTCACTGCATCCTCAAACTCCTGGGTTCAAGCTGTCTTCCCATCTCAGCCTCCCAAGTAGCTGCAGCTAATTAAAAGCAATTTTTTTTAAGTGGGCTCAAAAAACTGCAAGAGTTTTTTTTTTTTTTTTTTTTGAGGGGGGGCTCTTGCTATGTTGCTCAGGCTGGAGTGCAGTGGCTACTCATAGGTACGATCCCACTACTGATCAGCATGGGAGTTTTGACCTGCTCCATTTTTGACCTGAGCTGGAAAAAAAAATTTTTTTTAAGTTACAGGATCTTGTTTGTTGCCCGGGCTGATCTCACCCTCCTGGTTTCAAGTGATCCTCCTGCTTCAGCCTCCTGGGTTAGCTGGGTAAAGTCTCTTAAGTAGAAAAATCCCGATTGTCTAGGACACTGGGATTTTAGTTTAATGAGGGCCCTGATGTCAGAAGGTAACTTCCTGTATGTGTTCTGGGACCAGTTTGTGAGTAAAGTCATTATTGAGAGATGAAGGGGCCCAGAAAATCAGATCAAGGGCTCAGGATAGAAAACAGAGAAATTGTTTATCTGTTATTGAGGTAGGGAAACTACTGATATTCAGATAGTGGAAATACAGATGCATTATTTGCATATGAACTATTCTACACACATCACAAATGGGATAGTCAAATGAGAGGAAATGATTGCCAAGTCAGGTGTTGTGTTGTAGGAAGAGGGAATCTCTGGGGAGTAAGTATTTTTAGTGATCATCTATGAGTCTTTAAAGAAAACAATGTTACCTTTCTTACAAGCTGAATTTTTATATGAAACTTACACAAATATTACTGTATTGTCTTTATGAATGAAAGAGGGCCCTTCTTGCAACCATAGGCATTTTTATTACAAAATGTGCAGCAGTTAGCTAAGAATTATTCAGTGAGTTCTTTTAATTACCATTCCATGGAATTCTTTTTTTTTTTTTTTTTTTTTTTTTTTTTGAGACGGAGTTTCGCTCTTGTTACCCAGGCTGGAGTAGTGCAATGGCGCGATCTCGGCTCACCGCAACCTCCGCCTCCTGGGTTCAGGCAATTCTCCTGCCTCAGCCTCCTGAGTAGCTGGGATTACAGGCACGCGCCACCATGCCCAGCTAATTTTTGTATTTTTAGTAGAGATGAGGTTTCACCATGTTGACCAGGATGGTCTCGATCTCTTGACCTCGTGATCCACCCGCCTCGGCCTCCCAAAGTGCTGGGATTACAGATGTGAGGCACCGCGCCCGGCCGGAGCTCTTGAGATATTTGCTAACAAGCTGCTCAGGAAGACGCTCAGCCTTGGTAGAACCCCAGACAAAGCCCAGGCAGGATCATGACTGTGGAGGTGGCTTTGATTTATGATGGGTCAGGTGTCTCTTTCTCCTTGTGTATTCATC